AATCGCATTTCTGACACTTTTACTTAGTGAACCAAGATCTGTTCAGATAGCTGTTTTTTATATATTTCGTGTTTTTGGTTTTGCCGTTTCGCTTTGTTTTGTTCGGACTGATCCGGGTTATATATCGGGTACTTTCGTAAGGTGCCAACGTAAACATATATAAATCACTTATAGCACCAGGCTTTAAACGACCCCCCAAATAAGGAATTGTTCCGCAATCTTTTCACATTCTTTTCACATTCAAAAACTTTTTACACTGTTATGTTGTTTAGAAAACTTTTTTCACTTCGTATTGTTTTTGAAATGTATTTGAGACAGTACCGGGGTTTTTTTTTTTTTTTTTTTTTTTTTTTTGTCAAGTGTTCTGGGATCCACCTTTCTGAGCCTGAGCTCTAATATAAGTTTACTAATTATTGTTTCGAAGAAACATTATACCTAACACTGTGGGGACGCTTTACTCATTTGCACCCAACCTACCCTTAAAAAAATGCACCCACAAAAATTTATATAAACTTCGGCACATTTACACGTATTTTTTTTATTCATAGTAGATTATGTCACGCCCAAAAAAAGAACAACTGAAAAAATACAAAAATCGGAGTGACTATGTAAGTATATACTTGCTGAGCATTGCATGCCTAGTGAGCACGCGGGTGGAAGTCACGCTGGTGGTTGAGTGAGATATCGGGACTGCCTTTCGCTGGTATAATCGCCCACTGTAGACCCGTGCGCATGGTTATAGGGCAAAATCACAGATACGCACCAATCATAAACACGATGACGGTATGATGTGTTCACGCTTTTTTATTTTTATTTTTTTTTTAGGAAAATGATGAGTGCTACAAGTACAAGAGAACAATCGTTGAAATCTGTAGAAACACGCCCGGGTTTGTAATCACTGACGATGACAAGTTATTCAATAATCCGGTCGACGGCCCTATTGACACCGATCGTGACAAGGACATTCCAGTAAAGTATGAAGAATATAAAATTCTTCATAGGTGCAAATTCCGACAAAAAAACAAAATCGGATACAATGATGTGGAGCGGCTCTCCTCGGTTGTAGAAACCTACCACGATGACCATTTAGGCGCGATAGTTTCTAACCAAGGGTATTCTACAAATTCTAAAAGCGTAGCACCTCAAATGAAAATCATGTTGTGTCACACAACTAATTTCATTAAAAAAATCATCGATAAAGTCCGGTATTTAAGGCAAAAAGCCAACGAAGGTGATGAAGAAGAAGGTCAAGTAGTGAGAGTCGAAGTTTCAAATGAGGTTTCGGATGAAGTTCTAGATAATAATATATTGTAAATAATATAGAATTTTATTTTATCATTAATTATATTACGTAGTATAAATTTTAATTAATGTAATGAATTTTTTTTATTAATTAATTTTTAATGAATAAAATTCGAATATCTAATTTGCTGTTTTAAAATATTTAATATTTTTACTCCGGAGTATGATACTCTAATTAGCAAACCAAATTATTTAATTGCTAAAGGATAAATGCGAGTAAAAGATAATTAATGCCAAACGTTATTGCTAATTTATTTTATTGCTTTTTATACATGTGAATATACCGATTCAATACAATACAATTTTTTTGTGTACTTATTCAATGATTTATACAAAACCATTTCGCAATCCAATAAATCGCATATTTAATAATCACCAATCCAATAAGCAACATCATAAAACTTTGAAAAAATAATTCCAATTTTGTCTCTTCAATGCTCGTATAATCCTACGGGAATAGTATCTTGCTCCAGCCATTTCTCTAAATTCAGGTTTAATATATGTATTGAACATCATTGGTGCGATTTAGTATCATTGTTTTTTTACAGTAACTTCTCTGAATTGGTATAATGAGCATAATGTACAAATATTTCTGGTTCGGCATGAACTAAT